TCGTTTTTGTTGGCTCTCGTTTTTGCGGCGACTTCCAGTTCGCTATAAAAGTAAATGCGACATCGTTGCGTTAATATGAAATGAACAATGGTCGTACACTTTACAATGCTGATTTATCCGGTTTCAGCTCGGCCGGTAAATTTATTGCCGCTTTTTCTTCCTTTCAGCCCGTTGCGACTCCGCGCTGGAATCAATGGAATATCATTTTCCCGAACGCCGTAAATCAAGCAACGGCCAATTTACGACCGCAAAAAATCGCATCAAATCAATCGCGAAATAATAATAATAATAACAACAACAACAACGATCATGATGATGATGATGATGATGCGAGAAGAGTGGTTCTGTTCGGTTTGGTAGTAGTACACTCGTAGAAGAGAGCAAATACAAAGATGGTATGAGGAGGACGAGTGGAAACCGAAAGGGAAAACGAAACGCGGAAAAGCAGTAGCAGGCAAACATGTCCTTTCCACTTTCCATGAAAGGCAGTTCGCTCTCATCGATCTATGATTAAATTCATGCGTTTCTTATCCCGACGTCCATCATCTACTCTTCTCTTATATTTTTTTTTGTTTTGTTTGATTTTGTTATTCTGCTTCGGTTTCGCCAAAGATTTATTTATAATAATCACATCCTTCGAGACGTTTCCATTTTATTACCATTGAATACTTTACCGCAAAAACGTTACAAATTACAATTAAATTGTAATACAACTAGCTTTTACCATTATACTCGTACATTCTGATCATCTTCCACATATTTATTCAAACCATCAACAATTCAATTTTAATTTTTACCTAAATAATTTAGTAAATTTTTCATAAAAATTCCAATAAATAAATAGAAATTATCTCAATTATTTTCAATAAATCGACTGAAACTTTGTTTATGAAACTTCCAATAAATTACTTTTATAATCAAGGAAAAAGTAACTAGTAAATTTCCCCTATTTTTTTTATATATAATTTTACAAATATTTTAGTAAGTTTTCGCAAAAGTTTAATAATTTGACTGTGAATTTTACCAATAAATAAACTAAAATTATCTCTTTCAAGAAATAACAAAAATTAAAGTTATAACTAATATCAAATTTTCACAAGATCTTTAAATAAATCATCTTTAAGAACGAAAAATTTTACTACAAATATAATCAAAATATCTTTAGTTGGAAAAGTTTCAATAAATGAAATAAATTTTGCTATTTAGTACAAAAAAAAAACAAACAATTTCCATTAATTAATAAAAATTTAAATATTTTCTATATGAAAACATACAAAAATCTACATTATATCCACAATTCAAGCAAATTTTTCATAGTAGATTTCGAAATATTTCAATAAATTTCCTGTAAGTTTTACTAACAGATTTTTTTACAAATTGATTAAATTGTCATAAAAAAAAAGTTGCAAAAATGTATTTATAACAAGTGAGTGACGATGAGAACAGAAGTCCCGGATTGCTTAACTTCTACATCATTTTTAAAACTTGTGTACATCTTCGATTTTCTTTGTCATCTTTGTTTAAAGCAGACTATAATTTGCAAATATAATTTGTGTTTGCTGTACATGCAAAACACAAATGTATTGTGTCCAACCATTATTATAATACATAAACACACTATGTACGCTTTTTTCTATAAGCAAATATTAAAAGTATAAAGAGACTTCCAACAAGTCCCCAAATTGATACAAGTAATATAAACTCTCTTCACCGTGTGTGAATTGGAAAACAGTTCCTTGTGTTTGTGGTCATTCTAGTTGCATCTTAGTGTTGTTTATGATCACAAAATTTCCAAACTTGTATTCAGACATGTTATTTGTGTATTTTTTTGTGCAAAATTTAATAACACTTGCATGTCTCCAAATAAAAAGACAAAGAATGAAAAGAACCATAGATATAAAAAGCAAAATCATTAAAAATCGAGACCAAGTTATACTTTTTTTCCGACAAGGAAATTATATTTGAAAACGTGTGTATTGGAACGGATTAAACTTGAGGTTCCACTATATGTTAAACTCTCTAGGAAAATAAATAGAATGTTAGTAATATACACAAATAGATTTTGGGTCATTTATGAATGGTTTTTGTTAACATGCTTTATTCCTTTTGAAAATATCCGTAAACGCATGTAATTCGAGTCAGCCCTTTTATGCGAAAGGATTCAAATGTGCGGTGAGTTTTATTGTTCCGAATTCTATTGGCGTGGAGGAGCGTCGAGTAGGCCTCCGGCTACATCCGAGGATTTAAGGGTTCGAAATAACGTTACAGTAATGGTAGTAATAATAAGGAATTGAATCCGTTTATCTGAATAACCCTAACCCACTTTTCTGCAGCTCTAAAGGGTTGTCAGTCAACGCAGTTCTGTCCTACATTATGTGCAAACATTCAATTTTAAATCAGGAAATATTCAACTTTAATATTGAATTTTAATCGTAATGATTGGATTACCAATATTTACATTTATTTTAATTTAAGTTAATTTAATAATTTGACCTATAACAATGGTTATAGTGTTTTCACATTTCATTGATTTACTCGAAAACTATAACATATAGAATGAATCCAATATATGCATATGAAAGTTGAATGTTTGGGGAATCCAGCAAGTATAGATGTATTCCTGTGCTTTTATCCATATTGCTGTAATACGCGTTCAAAGTTGAAAAATTGAAATTAGAACATTCGAAAATGCAGTGTTTTCACATTTCATTAATTTACTCGAAAACTATAACATATAGAATAAATCCAATATATGCATATGAAAGTTGAATGTTTGGGGAATCCAGCAAGTATAGATGCATTCTGTGCTCTTATCCATATTGCTGTAATACGCGTTCAAAGTTGAAAAATTGAAATTAGAACGTTCGAAAAACCATTGTTTTCACATTTCATTGATTTACTCGAAAACTATAATAGAAAACTATATTAAATAAAATAAAATTTGTTAACTTTATGAAAGTAAATATTAATTTTTTTTAAGTAATTATTATGAGAAAACTAAATTATTTATTGTAACAAATTATTATAATATTCTATTGATGTTTTTGGATACAAATTATAACAAATTTCTTACAAAAATTGTTAAAAAAATATAAGCTTCAACTTACCTTCTGTACTCTATACAAAATATTGAACATACTCACTTGATAATTACTGCAATTGTTAAAGAATTTGGTTGCCGTGAATATGAGAAAATTATGGGAATACTCAAAATCGTTTATTTAATAGGAATATTGCTACCACCTTGTATATTTACAAAATAATAATAGTCAATTTATATAAAAAAAAAATAAAAACAAAAATAATAAAAATAAAAAACAAAAATAATAAATTTGAGGTAGCGCTAACGTACAAAACAAAAAAAAATAAAAATAATAGAAGAAATATCTACGAAGAACTATTTACAAAATATTCAAATCGCGGCGCCCCGGGATAAGCGCTCTTTTTCGAGGAATAAAATAATAAATTAATTAATTAATAATATAATAATAATAATATATAAAGACTTTTTCGTTTGTCCCGGGGCGACCGCCGCCCACCCATCATCATCATCAACATCATGATGATAATCATCATCAGTGCACCAAAAAATAAAAACAGAAAAATCAAAAAAAATATGATCATCGTCGCACGATGCGATTAATCTCCTTTTGGCTAAATCGGGAAGACCTTTATTCCAATAAACAATTAATTTTGTTGTTGTTGTTGTTGTCTATATTATTTCTCACTTGGAAGACGTAGAAAATTATACAATATTAGAGAAGCCTTGCGTGTAAAAAAACAAAATTGAACAAAAAAAAAACGATTTGCGATGTGTTTCTTTTTTTTTTAAATAAATTATGTAATTATTAATATTAATAGTACTCATTATAATAATAATAATAAAATTGTGCTGCTTAAACTCGTGGATAGGAACAATATATATTTTTTTTCTCTCTCTCTCTCTCGCTCATCTCAATCATCAGGTACACATACAAGGACAATTAATTCATTACGAAAAAAAAAAATTAATTAATTATTATATATAAACAAAATATCAATATTTCATATATATATATATATTTATATATGTAACAAACAATCAAAATTTCCTTGACGAAAATGTTTGCGCAAAAATAATTAAAAACGAAAAGAAAAAAAAAATTATAATAGGAACATTCAACATGCGTTGTTGGTCGATTTATCGAAGGAAACGAAAAATTAATTAATTGTACTTTCTTCTTGGAGGAGGATGGGGTTGGGAATCACCTTGTACATGTACTTAAACCTTATCTAATTAAGTGCACGAAATAATATCTGTTTCTGTTTCACGCTGTGCGTGATTTTTAGTAAACGAAATTTGCAATTTCGGACACGAAAAATTTAATAATTATAGTAATATCGTATTATTGATTTTCGTTTCTTTGTTTTAAAACTTTGTTTATTATTGTTTTCGCTTTGCACCTTTTCTTTTTTTTTTATAGTAATATTTACAAATCAATTATACAAATCAACTAGTTTGAGGGTGAACACTCGAAACTCGATTATAGCCTTGACAATTAATTCGAAATTTTTCCCATAAACTTACATATTTATAATTACTATAAGCGAGTTTCAGTGTCAAATAGATATATTTTTTTTATTTTTATATATATATATAATTATTTCTTCGCTTTCCTCGGTTAAGCCACAAAAATATAAATATGTATAAAATCACAAGATCTTGTTGTTTCGTTTAGCGTGCCTCTTCGATTCATTTAATTATAGTTTATTTTTTTCTTTCTCTATTATTTATTATCGTTTTTTTTTTCAATCGATTTCTTCATTGTTTTGTTTTACATTTAAATATACAGCGGAGATCACACTCACAACAATTTCATTTAGACAATACAAATTTTGATTACAAAAATTGTTGAAGCACAACTTTAATTTTCTTAGTTCAATTAAAGATTCATTAAAAGATAAATAAATTTCATCGAATTAGTACATAGACAAAGAAATAATTTAAGTCTTTACGTACAGTTGATAAACGTTGAAAATCAAGTTGTCAACAATTTTGAAAGATTAATAGATGGAGTTAAAATGTGTTTTTATCTAATTGAATCTATTGATGTGTGTGATCCTACTGTGTACAGTTTTATAATATTTTCATGGGGATAACAATTATTTACATACATTCTTTTGTTTGCGCGGGTGTTGGTGGTGGTCGACGTGGGTTTTCGTTTATTTTTTTGTTTGTAGTTCTTATTGTTGTTGGTATTGTTGCCTGGAAACTGTTGTTAGTTAAGTACGTATAGCTCACGAGCAGTCTAGTGAATTGGGGCTGCCGGGGGGCATCATGAACTGGGGACTGTGCGGACCCAGCGATTGGACGCCCATCGATCCGGGTCCCGGGTAAAGGTCCAGGTCGCTCAGACCGTCCGACCCGGAGCACTTGTCTCCGCCTTTGCCCTCCTGCTTCAGCATCATCCGTCTCCATTTCGCACGGGCGTTCTGGAACCAAACCTGGAACAGAGGAAAACAGAAAGAAAACATCAGAATTGTTTAATTTTTTTAGGGGTAGTTAGTTAGGTAGGTCTTCCACTTGGCGTCGTTTGCGCGCGCGTTTTTCTGGATGAAAATTGCATGAGGTTCACTAATCAGGTGACTAAAACGTCGGCAGTTTGCGACCGAATAAGGACGCCACTATTAATAACAATAAAATAAACGTGGTGATAATAGCATTACAAGAACCGGATGGTCGCGAGGCCGTGGAGGAATCTCGGACTTGGCCATTATCATTTGTTAGTCGCGCTCTCAATATGGCCGACAACTGCACTTCTTCTTCTCTTATTCTTATTCTTCGACTTCTTCGTCTCCTCTTCTTATTCTCCGCTCCACTCCACTCCTCGTCTTGTCTTCTTTTTTTCCACCTCCTTAAATCCAAATCCAACGCGAATAAATCAATTGGAGAGAATGGTCGGGCAGTGGAAAGAATGGAAAGACAACGGGCCTTCTCTTCTCTCCTCTCTTTTTTTTTCCTTTGCTTCTATCTCTTCGCGTTTCTGCTCATCGTCTTCACAATGTACACTCACACACACATTTTGTATACATATCATTGTTTGTGCATGTGTGAGAGTGTATATGCGTACGTCCTCAGGAACGAGATAACGAAATTCCATAACTTCGCTATCTGAGCAACGAATACGATTCGTTGTAAGCGTTCGAGACATGCATTCGAGCTGATAATGAACTCGGAACACTGGAATTACCAAAGTTCTCGAAAACATACCGACCGACCGACGATTCCCGCAGAAACTGCTTCTTCCACGCATTTTTTTTTTGCGAAACGTTCCTACCTTTTTTTTTCATTTTACTTCTCTTTCTCTTTTCGACAGTCCACTTCATTAAGACAAAAACGATTCGCGATATTTTCATAAGAATTCGCGTCGATAAATGGAGAAATACTCAACCAATAACACTCGAGATCAGATAGAATGCACAGAAGGAAAGGAGATACTATCTGAAGAATGCAAAATAGTTTCCCTCAATATATATTTCTTAAATCGATTTGTTTACTTCAGAATTGTTTACAGAGATATTATAAGAAGTTTCAATGATAAATACTTTTCTTATGATTAATTTCAGCAAACAAACAGAAAATTGGAAGAAAATGTAAAACAAAATCATACATTTTTATAAGAAATTCACGATAAAAAAAGTATATTTCACGTGTACAATAATTATAATTGATACTAGAAATTGCAAAGTTTAATTATTTTGAATGACGTCTCTTGTTGAAGTGGAAATTCGCACAGAATTTCTACAAATTTGAACGTCATTTTTTTTTTCATAAGCAATGCAAAATATTATAGAATGTAAATTTCTAATATTTTCTTTATTTCCATGTTTAAATAATGAAATGCGACTTAAAATTATAAATTATCAAAGCAAGCAATATATTGCAATATATTCAGAAATTTAAATTCAATTATTTTCGGGAATTGATCAATTGCTTCATTAATAAATTTGTTTGATATTTCTGTTAAATAACATTATTATTACAAAATAAATAAACGATTTTTAGTTTTTTTTTTTTAACTTTGCTTCATCAATATTGTTACGTTTCGTATATATTTTTTCTTCAGAAATCTCTCGTGTTCAATATACACAATTCTGCAGCTCTTCAGTAATTGGAGAGAGAAATTTTGGCATTGTTTTTCGCGTGCGCAGTTCATCTCTCGTTTTGTTTTTATTTTATTTTTTTCCTACGTTTTTGGCCCCGATTCCGTTTATTTTCAGGCCCTCGAATTCTTCGGAGGGTAAACAAGGGGGTCTAATTTGGGGTCCCGCGTGTTTCTCTCTTTTTCTCTCTCATTATATTACTCTATCTCTCTCTCGTTTCCTCCCACAGATTCCGGCATTCTCCGTCTCTCATTTTTTCATTTTATTTTTCAGATGAGAACGAACGAACGACGAGTGCAAATTCAGCTCGTTTTTCATCAATAAACAATCGTTCGCGTTGCCTGCGTTTCGTGCAGAGAAAGAGGGATGGGGGGGGGAGAGCGACCCCGGCAGCACTAAAAACTGGGTCTATTAAAATCTTTCAGTCGACTGAGGTTGTTTGTCTTGGGTCCCCTCGTTAAGGCCGCCCGGAGGAAGGAAGAAACGTCCCTCTCGTTGCACTCCTCCACTTCTTCATCATCATCATCGTCATCATCTACTTCATCCTCTCTTACTCTCACCTCATCCTCCTCCGCAACGTTTCTTTCTTTCTCCCGTACTTACCACCACCAATCACTTTATGTAATCCACCTTCCTTTTATTTATTTATTTATTTTCTTTTTTTTTACTTCCCATTCGTATTTACGATTTCAACTGTGCTCCATTTCATCCTCTCTTTTTAGTCCTTTTTTTTCCAAATAGTATTTATAGTAAGCATAAATAGGAAGGCGAACCAATCGAAGACTACTTTGTACCAGTTGTCCGATGTGATTTATTCGTCATCGTAAAGACTAAATTATTATTATTCCATTCAGAATTTCTAGCCTCAGGGAAATCGTATCTACTTATTTGTTTCATTTTTTTTTGTTTTCACAACGAACCTATAAGTTCTCATTTTAATTGGTAGCCTACTTCTTGCAGTAAGTAAATATTATTACACAATTAACATACTTAAAATATTACTTCACCAAACATTTATTTGAAGACTTAAAATCAATAATTTTCAATTACCAAAAACTATATTCTTCGATTCTTGTTTTAATTAAATCTTAAAGTAATAATAAGTAAATTTATTGTAGATAATATTTGTATATTTTCAGTTGGATTAGTGATGGTAAATGTAAAGTTGTTCGGCGGTAGCGGTTTCGAAAAGGCGGCGTAAGAATGAAGGTGTAAATCCGTCATTGGCATTTTCGTTACGTAATTAGAAGAGTTAGATGCGCGGCGGCAGTTCAGTGGATTAGTTCAAAAGGGCCGCGTGATGCATACGACGACGACGACGACGAAGAGGGCTGACTTATCTGCGGCGTGACGGCCCCGCGGATCCATCATTCCGCCGAAGCCGAGCATCGCGTTTGCAGAAAACCGCGCTTTTTGAACCTCCTCCTCCTCTTCCTTTTTCCCTCGTAACCACCACTTCCATCTTCTTCGTACCCTTCGCTTCGAATCTATTCCCATCCTGCTTCTTCCTGCAGGATGGTTGCGCTAGTGGTGCACGAGCGTATCATAGCCCTTATCGCGCGCCCAAGATCTTGACGGCGCGATGCTTGGACGACTGTACAAAGAGGAGAGCCGTAGAGCTATTTCTATTTCTGCTAATTGCTGAAGGCGGCAGTTTCGGAATGTTCCCGTTGAGAAATGACTGTCGGCCTGACTGATTGCCATGGAGACCGCCGCCGCCGCCGCCTCCACTCCCTACTCCTCTTACTCCTCCACCACGCACGCATTTCACTATCTCATCGTGTATCGATCCGCAAACCCGAAAGACAAGATGGCTACACACTCTGATCATCATCCATACATCCATGGATAATTACACCTAATACATATAGTAATATTTAACACAAAGGAACTACCATCAGTTATTTTACTTCAAAGCAAAGTTCATCAAAACCAACGCATTTCTTAAGCATTTACAAATTCCACTAACAGAGTAATTAATTTGTTCAAACTTTATATCAAAACACTTCATCTCATACTCAACTAACTAAATCTAAATACATTTATGCAAATCAATTAAATTTAAAAAAACTATGCAACAAAAGGATAAATTCCTTTCAAATCGTGATTAATAATTAAAATAATACTTTCATCAGATTTACTTCAAGAAAAATCATTATATAATGATAAAAAATAGAAAAAAACATTGAGAAACACAATATAAATAAAATAAAGTACAATTGGAAAAATAATAATTCTTGTCTTTGAAGTAAAATGTGTTAAGCTACTAACTTACACGTATTAAAGGAATCAATTGCAATTGAATGCTTGCAGTCTGAATCACGCAAAATATATGTATATAAAAAAAAAGTGAGTGCGGGCAGTAAAATTCCAATTAATGAGATTGGCTTTTAAGTCAACTTATTCAGTCCTTGCTTTATTTATATATATATATATATTTGTGTGTGTGTGTGTATTTTTTTTAGCTCGTGCAAATCGCAAAATGCGTGTAATTCATTCTTGTTTACGGGCGCTGCGAGCAATTCAAAGAATCCTGGAAATAACATGTAAGCAATGAAGAATTCGTCCTGGCGCTGCACAATTATTAAAATGAATTTGCAGCACCAAAACAATGACATCAAATTATACAACACACGATTGTTTTATAATAAAGCAATCACTGCAATTATATTACAATTATTTTTATAAAAAAAATATTCGTTTTTCAATTGTAAATAATAGTCTTAAGAAGATTATAAAAGTATAATGTATATAAAATTATTAACTTTCATATTTGTATCAAAAAAAGTTAGTTTTTGACTAGTAATTGATTGTTTTCTGTGTGAAATTTGTAATTGTTGAAATCTTAAGAAGTCAAGTGTTGAAGGTGGAGAGTGGTAACACCTTTTCGATGTCGCTTTTGTTGCTGTTGTTCTTTTCTCTTCATTTTTTTGTTTGTTTTGTCTTTTCTTTTAAGTTTAATCTTCGAAGCTTGCGTTTGGGATCTTTCGCATGGCGAGAACAATGCGAAATTTTTCATCGGCCTCGACAAAATGGCGTGCGAGCATTCGGATGGAATATAATAGAAACGGCGGAGAGAGAGAGAGAGAAAGAATGAGAACGGCGGGCGGAGTGAGAGAGAGATGTAGATGAAAGATGCTGCGAGAATGAGAGAGATGTAATATATAGAATGGGTGTGAGAGAGAAAGAGAGAGTGAGGGAAGGAAGGAGAGCGGAGATAGTTCCGAGAGGGAGAGAAAGACGACGGAGTTGATCTCTTGGGGGACGCAAATCCCGAGTAATTGGACCTCCACATCCTGAGGGGTTGAGTGATTTATATCCCTTTCGGCGTGGGCGGGTTGAAAATATATATATATACACATGCACACATAAAAAAGGCGTGCTTTAATATCACACTCCGCGGTATTGATTTTAAAGAGTCTGGCTTCAAGAGAGATGAACAGAATGTAGAAAATTAATATTTTTATTCGCTCTTTCTCTTCAAGATATGCGAAGAGAATGTAGATTTTTTTCCTAAATTCATCTCTATTTCATTTATTATGCATCCAGATAATAAGTGTAAAATTTTCTCTAGCTTCCTGTTTGTTTCTTAAATAAGATAAATGAAAAAACTGTAAATTTTGTATCTAACTTCATTCCTGTTTCGGAATATAAGAATTCAGATAGTCTGGATTCAATAGAGATTAAGAGAATATTGATTTCGTTTCCTAATTACATCCCTAGTTTTTACTCTAGATTCAGACTTCCAGAGAGAAGATTATTTTTTAATCTAACTTCATCTTTGTTTCTTGGATTACATTCACAGAGAGAGAGAGTGTGTTTTTGTTAATTGTGCAGATGTGGCTAATCGCGTCTGAAAAATCGTTCCTCTGGAAATAAACGCACGACCAAATAAACGCTCCTGTTTGTCTGGATAAATGTACCGGAGAGAGGAGAAACAGGAGGGAACGAAACGGAGACGGAGAAGAAATATGATTTCCGAGTTACCACTGGAGGAGCACAGCCGCATCTGATTTAAATAATCCCCGTTTCCATTTGATCTTCTAATTGTGGAACATCCTCCTTTGTCTTTCTCTCCATCTCAGGACGCGGCGTCCCGCTCCGTCGAAGAAACAAGATTCAATCACGCAAACAATAAATCTCTCTTTTTACCAAACAAAATGAAAAAAAAAACAAACAAAACAACAACAAAAGAAAGAACAATTCCCTTCGTTTTCATGAAAGTTCATGTAAATTATATAAACTTTGTTACACAAAACCTTACATTTTGTGCAGAATCAATCGAATCGATCCTTAATTTAGCTTAATTCTATTTTAACAACCGTTTCACAACAATTCATCCAAAAAAATCGTAATTACGCAGTGGTAAAATTAACTATCATAAAACTATGATTTATACTAAGTTTAGTAAGAATGTTGATGTGATTTGTATTTACCTGGAGTACTCGTTTCGGAAGTCCGGTTTTCTGCGAGAGCTGCTTGAGGTCCTTGGCGTCTGGATTGTGGTTGATAGCGAAGTAGGACTTCATCGTCCTGAGCTGGTGATGCTTGAAGGAGGTGCGCATCCTCTTCGTCCTCTGGTTGGAGCCGGGCATCCCGGGCGTTCCCGGCGACCGACCGAACGACATGTCCAGATAGTCCGAATTTAAATCTGTAACAAAATTTAAGAAGAAAAATGAAATAATAAGTTTAACAATAAGGAGAAAAGAAATGTTTGAATAAGTTTCTTGTCTTTGGATAGGAAGAGGACAATAGGAAATAAACAAGGAAGAATGAGTATTAAAGTTTAAAAATCTGCTTCTTCCGTTTTAGAAGAGGACAATAACAAAGAAACAAGGATAGGTAGGAAAAGGAAACAAGAAGGAGTAAAAGAGTTAATGGCCGTGTTTGGAGGAGGCTGCGTTCGTGCGTGCATGTGTGTCGTCTCTTCATTGTATGTGGGAAAAAGAGAGAAAGAGAAAGAGGAGAGTGTGTGGTGTACAAGGTGAGGTGTTTTCTGAGTAATGGAGGAGAGGAACGTGAGCAGGAGAATACGTAGAATAGCTAATAAAACACATCTCGGAGGAGTCTCCTCCGGTGATTTAGAGAATACAAATTTAAGGCGGGTCCGTCGACAACTTCAGGTGGGCGACCGTTTGCTACTTGGCGATACTCGGCCGAGATAGCGGGGACCGACAATAAATTACGACACTTATTCCGCATAAAGAGCACACAAACACACACACACACATACGCAAAACATCGGCAACGAAAATACGAAATAAATAAGTGAACAAGTTAAAAGAGGAGACGAAACTGCTGCGACTCTCCTTCTTCTTTTTCCTCTCCTCTTTCTGTCCTTTTTACAATTTCACTTTCCAACTTGCACTCTTCCTCCTCCTCCACCTCCGACATGTCACGTACAGGTATATACGCACACATCGTCCTTCTTCCTTCATCCACGGCGATAATAGCAGAGCTCCTTTCGCGACGACCGATAATAAAATATTTACAAGAGTAATTAATGTTGCGTTCGGCTCATCGCGGTCGTAAATTAACAATCTCGTTTTAACGACGGCTCCTATCCTCTCTTCCCTCGATCCTCTTTTTTCCAAAAACCTTCCCTCTCTCTCTCTCCCACATCATCATCATTCGGACACGGCCTTCGGGACCCTTTGATGCGCACCATAAATTCACCATCGCGCAGCATTGACTTTTATCGCTCCGTGGAAAATCTTACGCCAGAAAAGTTCTACGATTTCATCTCAAACTAAATCAATTATTTCGCAAATAAATCATTATAAAAAAATAGAGCGTACGCACCTAAACGAAAAACTGATCTTGATCAAATTTGTAATTACAACAATTCAATTCATTACATTTAAAATTAATCTCTGACAAATCTTACAATCAAAAACTACAATGCAAATACATATAGCATTGGTACAACTGTCAGAAATTAATTTGTGTCTCATATCTTGTATATTATGTACACACCTTTATATAATTATATAAAAAAAACTGATGGAAATAAGATATTAGAAATGTCATAAAAACTAATTAATTTGTTTGCTTATTTATGTGTTATTATAACAATAAATTTTCTTTTTCAAAACAAATTGATGAAAACAAAGTTTTCGAATTTCGAATTATATTGTTAACATCTTAATGAAATATTTTTATGAAAAAATTAAACTCGTTGAAAATCTATTGAAATCACCTAATTTATTACATACAACTTTTACTTCTAGTCTCATATAACATTTATTTATGTCCCAAATGAATTCTAAAACATTTTAAAAATTGTAGATTTCATTAAAAAAACAAACTTATTGTTAATATTGATATTAAGTTGTTTTACTTCCAGACTAATAAAATGTAAGATTTAAATGAATAAATAAAATATATTATTACTATATTTAAAATAATATTTAATTGTCAGTTAGCTCGTAAACAATCGCTACTTATGATTTATAGTATTGTTTAATAAGTATCTTGTGTTACGACCATAATAAACATCTTTATTATTACTATTTACAATATCTTATTATCATAACATCATGATAAATAAATTCCAAACTACTTTTATTTAACTTTCATATCAACAATTTATTGCATTTAAATTTTGTATGCATTAAATAATTAAATGAAATATAAAAATTAATCAAATTTAAAACAATAATCTGCTGAATTCAAACACGTGACAAAGTCATAGCTAAGATATTTTTAAACATTTTGTTAATTTTTAAATACATTTTTTTCTCCTAAAAATCTGGTTAATTAACGAGCAACTATGGATGAAGGCCATTGCGATGATTAAGTGTTTAGAAATGTTTTACATTTATTTTTTTTGTCAGAAAGAACAAAGCATCGAGAGGAACAGAACAAAACAAAAATGTAATAATTTATGTGGAGATTTGTGCGGTAGATCAGACCGCAAACCCGCATCGCGATGAGTAAATCATCTTTTTCTGTAAGCAATTTGCATCGAGAATTAGTCACTCACTTTAGTTCAGATCAGCCAGCAGCTCATGTTCAAATTGCGCTACACATGCACATACACGATTCGATTATATGCAAATCGTGCATTTAATCAGACGAAATAATCAAGTTTGAAAAAAAACGAAACGCATAGTTTCTTCTTGTAAAATGCATTATAATGATAATTTATATGAAATTGTGTAATTAGTACATATTTTTATAAACAATTAATCTAAATTTAAATGTTATAATTTTTTTTGTATTTAGTATAATTATATTATAAACTAGTTTGGTTACGATATTTAGTGAACTAATTAGATCGATTTTATATGCAACATTGTAAACTACATTAATTCAATTATCATTATGTATGGAATTACATGAAAATCAGATTTAATTATACCAAATGTTCAGGTTTTTTTTTTAATTTAGTAAAATACACTAATTATACCGTTATTCGTGCTGTTATGCATTTAATTAACAATATTAACAAACAAATTTAAAAATCAATTAAACAAACCGAAATGTATTTTTCATTTCTTGATTGAAATATAAACATAATTTGGAAAGAAATACTACAACTTCCTAGTTTAAAATATTCATAAATCATTTGACTTTATTAAATGCAAATTGCTTTTAGTAATGGAAAAAATAAATAATTTTGTAAATTTTACTAAATCCAATAAATTTCTTCTGATTATTTACAAATTTTAGAATTATTGAAAACAATATTGCAATGATTTCACATTTTTAAATTCAATAATTGCAATTTTCTTATGATTACTTAGAAATCTTCTTTACATCTAAAAATTAATGAAGATAATTAATTTTGCAAACAGAAATTTTAGAATTATTAGAAAATCTTCTAATATTCCAATGATTTCACAAATTTTGTAGTATTATTTAGAAATTTTCTTTATACATAAAAATGAATAAAAATAATTAATTTTGAAAATTGAAATTTTAAGAAATTTTAGAATTATTAAAAAGTCTTCCAATGACATCACGTTTACTAAATTCAATACAGACAAATTTGTATGATTATTTACAATTTTTCTTTAAATATAAAAATAAATGAAAGTAATTAATATTGCAAATTGAAATTTTAGAATTATTGAAAAGATTGCAATAATTTTTATAATTATTTAAAAATATTCTTTACATTGTTAATATTGAAAATTAGAATTAGAAATGATTGATTTCACATTTTACTAAATTCATCATATGCAAAATGGTTACATTAATAAATAATGATTGTAAATCGTAGATATAAAATCTTTGATTAAGTTATTAAACTGGATTTTTTTTTTATAAATCTTTTAATGACTTCATAATATAATATTTTTCGCGATTAATGCGATAGATTCATCAAAATTAAATGCTATAGTTTATGTTATTTAACGTAATTAAGTTTAGCAAGGTGCGGATTTGATAGTTCGGTTAGCAATAAATTATTGGATTTCCTCGCAGATGAATAGAGATGGAGATAATCGCGTTCGCAATTATTTTATGCGCGGCTATTAATAACCGCATAGAAAGTCCTCTAGTTTTTCAGCAGTCGATGTATCACTTGCAAAACGTCGATCTATTAATTTCCATTTTACAGGTAATTATGGTGTATAAATAGGTTTGGTTTTAGCGAGAGAACCGGACTGAGAAATTTTTGTTAAAGACTAAAAGAAATTCGTTAACGATGAATAATTTACGTGACAGCGGTGGTGGTGGTGGTAGTAGTAGTAATGTGTAGTAGTAAGACTACTCGAGTTAGTCCAGAATTTACGGTCGCGCGAGGAAGGTGCAAGAGCCGAGGAGAAGAGATGTAAAGGAAGAAAACGAAGATGAAGATGATGTTGAAGAAGGCAAAAAAAAGATGAAGTGGAAGGAACTACCGAAGAGATGCAGCGCGCCACGCAAGAGTTGTTATTAATCTTTACATGTATTTAATATAACCTTAAGATATTTGCATTCTGTCCGGAGATATTATAAACGGGATTTATGGCCGCTTAATATCATAAATGTTGGTCGGACGGTGGAGAGAAGATGTGCGCGTTCGCGATTATTTATCGATTCCAGATCATGGGAACTTCTCACGAGATCCGCCCATTAAGAATGTTACGTTCGGAATACGGATCTGATCTCCTCACGGGCGAGAAAAAAACTATTTATAAAGTGCCGAACCATCATCAATTACACACACACACACACACACACAAGACCCAATTGCCTTCAGTTAGGTAGCAACCCTTATTCCTGCCAATAAATTACGCAACTCGATGTTGATGATGATGATGCGGGAACTACTCGACCACTTTCATCCAACAATTCCTTTTTATTTCTATTCCTTTCATATCCTTTCACATCCTATCACATCCTTCCATCGTCCAAACGCAAGCTGCTTCGAAACAAACATACAAAAAGAAATTTACACCTTCCTTGACACCGGACAAATCGCTCCGAATAAACTTGCAATTAATCACAAAATAATAAAAAAAAAAAGTTTTAAATAATAATATCAAACATTCAGAACTTTCTAATACTAATAATAATCTGTAAATAACATTGTCAACGTACGATTTGGTAAGCGCGTGTCATTGTTGCGTAACAGTTTTTCCGTTTATATGAGTAATGAAGGAAAAACTGCGTGCATACAGCACACATTTTGAAAAATTGTATAGAAACATATAAACACACACACACAGCAAACGAGGCCATTATTTATTCGTTTTTATCATATCGCCTTCTCCTATGTGTGTTTGTATGTTGCAAAACGCTTTCGTTAATTGGAGACCCATTAAATTGCAATCTACCTGAGGACACTTATTACACTTTATATGCAATTTTTTTTTAGTACGTACGCAGAAAAAAAAACGTATTATAATTACGTGATAATCGTTACGTTTTTTCCTTCATTTGTAATTTCTATGGTTTCTTTTTTTTTTGCTTATTCTTGTATTTTAATTATGGTTAAAATAATCAATTAGAACAAGGTTACAATTTCTACAAGTTCATTATCAAATTATAAATGATGAAAAGACAATTTCTTACTGCTTTCAAATTAAATATTACAAAAAATATTGATTCTTAACTTCAAATTAACAAAAAAAATATTTTAATTTTTCATAAAAACCTTTACTATTTCATTTTTTTTTTCCAAACAAAAATAAATTTAAAAAGTAGTAATAACATAATAATTAACAAAATGTAATTTTATTTTGAAACTAAATATTTTAAATATAAGTTGTAAGAATCGTGTTTCAATGAAATTCACTAATATTTCTAATTAAATTATATGTCAATTATTAATTAGAACAAGGTTCAAATTCTACAAGTTCAAGACTAAATTATACTGAATTAAAATTTATTAATTTTAAATTAATTATTAACCATTAAATTATTATATTTAATTTAATTGTAAGTTGTTTTTTTATTAATTTCAATCTAAAATTAATTAATATCATTTTTTTTACAATAAATCTATAGAAATAGACAAATAATTGAATTTTTTATAAAAAAAAAATCAATTTCTAACTAATTTAAAAACTTTTCTTATTAAAGAACTATCAATAATTATATTATAATAATATGTAATACGCATAAAAATATGTTTTCTATAATTGAAATTCAAAAAATTTCTACGCCGCTCTCATTAGTCACTAGGAATCCACAGAATGTGTATCTTTCAAACACAAACATTATTATTATTACTGCAAATGCATTGAATTTCACTAACTAATCTGTTTATTAAACAGAAAGTCCTTAGTTTCAAATGCGATTTATGATTTTTCAACTAAATCTGTTCATAAAACAGAAAGTGTTTTCATCCATCCATTCGAATAAATGTCAATCAAGCGAATACATATTGTCATTAGGTTTAATATGATTAATTCAATTATTTCGGGTTTGTGTCGATGAAATTTTCGTTGTTATTAAATAACATTTAATAATAATTGTTTTGTGTGTATTCATGTGCGACTGCACTGTATGTATACGTTTGTATATGTGTGTGTATGGAATATGGGGCTTTGTAATCCTCGGGGCTTAGCGAAAGCGGATTGCTTTTGCCTGGTGGATAGAGAGAGACATGAATAGATTGAGTCGGATTTAGAGTGAGTGAGAGAGAAAGAGAGAGATCCACTGTCATGTGGCACAATTAATTTCACTTCAATCCGATCAGGCGACTTGTTCAAAGCTGCTAATCCCTGTTTATGTCACTGCCTCCTCTCCTCGAACGGTTCCGCCGTCTCCGTCCGTCGCACGCAAAACACGGCCGTTTAATTAATGCCCCTCAGCGAGCCAAACTAGCCTCACTAATCTTTCCCCGACGAAACCCTATCTCCTCAGCCTCAACCACAACCTAAACCTAAAAAAAAAAACAGAAGAGTAGAGAAACTACCGCCTCCGCCGCCTCCTGCAGCAGCCAGCAACTATTTATTGTTACAATAAAATAATACTGCCCCGGCGATTTTTAACGCTCCCGCGAGGCCGTAAACTTTTACGGTTCGCTTTGCGGAGTCGTTCGTTTCTCCTTCCTCCGATTTTATTTTATTGTTTGTTGAAAAGCCGAAGTGGTTCACATAGCAATTAACAAATGAATGAAAGGGGTCTCTGCGTTCGCATCGAGTGGTCGTTGAAGATATTCCACGTAATGTGAACCCCTCTCTCTTTCTATTTAGCGCGCTGTCGATTAGGGGTGGACCGGATCCAATTTTTATTTCCCACAGCGCGTGTCGATTTTTTTCTTTTTAGATGCGTGGGGTGAATTAGCCTTCATCAACAACAACAACATCATCATCTGACCACCTCATCTACCCGCCCCTACCCTAAGATCACAATCGAAAATCGCACCATTTAACCGAATGCAAATATTTTTCCCATACGAATTAACCTACCCAAGCATTTCAATCATATCAGTTTTCTATTATGATCTTCACCCCATTACAACTGAGCGTTATTGAAAGAGAAAACTATACACCACAAGTACATAATTATATATTATAATCAATCATATAAAAAAATTATTCCTTATTTCGCTATGAAATTCTAGTTAATTAAGTTTATAACAATATAGTTCCGTATTGTTTTTATTTGTAGGTGGTCTTTAAAAAATTATACCTGCAAACATTAAAAATTAAACAGTAATAAAAAAAATGTACATCTTCATAAACACTGTAATTGTGTAGATTCGAAGATTGCATGTATCTAATAATAATATCGATCTGTAATTTGGGTCCTTCTCGATTGAAACTACGTTTCTCGTTATTGATTTTTTCGACTTCATGAGATGCGTGGGCGTATTGAGGATAGAAAAAAAGAAGACCTGAACCACTCAGAGTCCGTCTGCTACACTTTACGACTTTCTAGAGAATATCATCATAAGTGAAGGTAGATGTTACAAAAAAAAAATAAACAAATAAGGAAAAAAAAAGTAGCAGCATAAATATCAACGTATGTAAAGCGAAGGAATGGAGCGAAACAAACCGGAGGAATAAAACGAAACGAAAGAAGTGAATAGTGAAATCCAGTTTAACAACTAAATAACTTATATCGGGAAAAGAAAGAATTCGATACGATTTCTCGTTCTGCACGTTATATTTTTATTATTTCGTATTCACATCATCGACTTCTTTCTATCCATAGTTTGATTATTTATTTATTAGTTCTTTCTTTTTTTTTAAATATGCATATAATACGTATATAGATATTTGTTGTGGCCTTATTTAAATGGATTGTGGATGTAGTTTGCATACATTTGTGGCCGCTGGCAGAAAAATCGGAATGGCCATTCGTAAATGGCACTTTACTGTTTTATGCAAATCAACATTTGCGACTTCCGCGAGAGAAAGAATTCGAATATCTGCACAGCTCGAATGGTGACGATTATTATTAGTGTTATCCCGTGAGAAAATCCGTTTTCCTTCTGGTTTTTTTTCCCTCGCGTTTGCTGCTGCTCCGATCCGGATAATTTCGCATGTGAAGCGGATTTTTTTACGTTTGCCACGTTTATGCGAAACGATAAATTAAGGTTTTACTGCGGTCGAGGATTTAACGATGGTTCTGTAAGATGTTGGTTGTGGTGTGGTGTTATAGGTAGGTAGGTAGATGGGTAGGGTTTTTTGCTCACCTAAATTGGCAGTCATGGCTTCGAGATCTTTGGGTTTCCGTTTCCGCGGCCTGCCCTTTTGGCGAGGCGTCGATGGGGCACCGTTGAAGAAGGGCACCTTCGTTTCGGTGGGCGTCGACGGCGCTGGTACCGGGGTTACCGCGTGATGGTGGTGATGGTGATGGGGATGATGCGGATTGTTGTGATGGAAGTCGGGACTCGGGAAGGGCGGAGGGTGCGGGTAATGCACTGACGATGGAGGCGGAACGACGCCACCTCCACCACCACCTCCGACACCGCCTCCTCCACCTGCAGGTACCCCGAACATCGCCGGATGATGATGGTGATGTGGATGGTGATGATGATGGTGATGCGGGGGCGTCGGTTGCTCCGCGAGAGCCATCTCGAAGTGCAACCGGCAGAGGACGGCGCCGTTCTTCATCCCGAAGTGGTCGCCCTTCGTCAACGGCGAATTGCACACCGCACACGAGAAGCAGTGCACGTGGAAGACCATTTCCCTGGCTCTCATCACCAGCTCCGAAGAGAGTATCGTCGCTTGACATCGACCGCATCTCCTCATCCCAAATAACCTGAAACAATAAAATACAAAATTTACAATTTATATTGCATACTCAATCGAATATAATTAAGAATCACTTAAGAATGTTGTTAATTTCATTATTTATAAATTTATTTTAATTTTCCATTAACGCAAAAAAGTAAATATTAATTAAAATTTACTTTAAATTTAAATTAACAAATATTAAATATTAAGCAATCATATTAAGCAAATTATCAAATATGTACACTATATGTTATGTGATCCGATTATTGGAACGTGTTGATTGTGGTTTTCGGTTTGTTTGTTTTTGGGTGAAAAGTGAAGAGCGTGAAGTGGAAGTGTAAGTCAAGTTTGTTTTGGGAAGATTAAGGATGAATGGAGTGTTGGTTATCTCTGTGTATGTGAATGTGTGTGAAATTGGGGGATGAGTGTGTAGAGTGTATTATTATTATTATGGTGGATGATTTCGGGTATCGCGTTGATCTCTCAATCATCAGGCTTGTTCATCGTGGGGCGATGTTTGTTGTTGTTGTGTGTGTGTCGAGTTGTATGTTATGTGTTGTATGTTATGTTATGTGAGAGAGTGTGCGTTGTATGTTTTGTGTGTGTGCGGTTGTTGCCATTGTCCGGAATCGTTGAACGTAAAAATCTGTTTTTATAGTCGGATTAGGTTGTGTGCGTGTCCCGAAAACCCGACGGGTACAATGGGGGCGCAGGAGTGGATTATTACAAGTATTTGATTTGTATGGGGCCCCGGGGAGGGAGAGCAACAAAAAAAAACATACACAGAAGAGAAGAGAGTATGGAAACGTGGAAAGAGAAAGAGAGAGATGAAACGAAATGGTAACTGAAGAAAGGAACGAAGAGAGATTGAACCTGGGGCCTCCGGTGAAATATGGGGCCCGAATGCAGTGGGAGATCATCATGAAAGGGGGCCGCAGCAGTTGAAAGGGTCCACTCGAGCATATGTTACATATTTATATACTCTGCGGTCCCGGCACCCCGACGGGGGGTTCCCCGCCCGGCATACCCACAATATTATTATTATTATTATTATTCCCATAACAAATCTCCATCTTCCATCCATATTCCATTGCCTTATTCTTTCTCTTCTTTTACTTCTCATGCCTCTTCGCCTTCACGGACGGTATCATCATCTCACGTGTTTATCAACGGCTGCGTAAAGTTCAATTTTTTATCGCCGTATGCAAAAATAATTAACGCTCGCAATTATTACGTCTGCGTGCAATAAGAAATATGAAATATATCGCCGAGCGAGCAGATCGTTATCCTCGAGATTCCTCCTTTCCTTTCCATACACCATCCTTTTCCTCTCTCTCTCACTCCTCCTTCCTGCCTGCCTTAACTCCTTCTTCACCTCAGACCACTTCTTGTGTCCGTCCATTGTTAATAATGCGATTAATATAATCTTGATTGTGTTCAACCGCATTGTTATCGCCGTGTCCGAGGTTCTCTCGTGTTCGCGCGCTCCTCTCTTCCTTCCTTCCTGCAGTCTTCCTTCGCAAAGCAAACCAGTGTTGTCCACCCATCAACACCCGACAACAAAGCCTCTCTCTTTCCCTTTCTCTTTCTCCACATTATTTTGGCGACGATTCTACTAAGAACCCTGTGGCGACGGCTCAAGTTCCATCCTTCGACAGACCTAATAACAATAACCGACCCACAGGAAAAGCGGATTACCGATTCCGTGCAAAATCCCAACAAAACATCATTCACACTTATTGCGAATTGTTCCATCCACCCTCTTAACGACGTCACATTTCACGTTTATTGTTTTCCCTTTAAATTAACTCAAATCAACAATAAACATTTCTAATTTACATGAACATTTGCTACAACAATTATAGTTAATATTACGATTACCAATTTAATATTTTTTTTTCAAACAACTTGAAAATAAGTTAAATAAAATATGTTGTGGCAGAAAAAGAAAACGACTACTATTAATGGAGCTATTTCAACATTTCAACCGGATTTAGGTATAAACACCTCAGTCACAACAATCTCTCACTCGGATTGAGACACCTCTGCACAAAAGAAAGACTCTGCAAATAACTTAATAAAATTTATGCATTCGTCGCACTCATTAATCACTTCCTTAACCTTGTGTCAAAATTTAAAAAAATAACCGCAATTATTCAAAATATTACAGCACGTTTTCATTAAGCTTTTCATCATATTAAAAACACAAGCATTTTCAATTGTATATTTATAATTAACTTAAGATATTATGCTATAACCATTATACGATTTGTAGTCAATTTTATTTTGGTTTCAAGGATCAGGAGTCAATTGGATTTCGATTTAGCATGGCCATCTTCTTTGCTTCGTTTGCGGTGGCCCGATGACAGGTCCCTAAGATAGATGCCATTGTTTCGCGCGGAGAACGAGAAGCGCTGAGGGAGGAGGAGGATGTAGAAAAACAAAGCAGCAAAGAGACGGGACACTGTGGTGGATGATGGCAGGATGAAGGGAGGAGAAGAAGGACGGACGGACGAGACAATAATAAAAACAAAAGGCCGCCTCTCCGTATTCAATTGGCCGGTCTCGCCTGTATTCTTCTCTATCGACTGGTTTTTGTTTCGTTATCTGTTGCGGGAGAACACAACGAACGGATACACGTTTCCGAAGAGGATTTTATTTATTGTCGGTATCCGAAGGATGCGCGGGTTTGCTGCCCTCCTAACCCCTACGAGAAAAAAAAAACGCGAAGGACGAGCAGAAGTTATAATCCTTGCTCATCCTCATATTTGCGGAAGAAAAATCAACGGTGTCTTGTTGATCTGCGGTCCTTCTTTTTAGGTTGAACGCACGGACTTGCTGCTTCTTTACGAGGTATTAAAATCGAGGTTTTCTTCTTCATGCAGTTTCGTTGATTTAATAACGCTGCCCGAGGCGAAGGAGGCCGCCGCCGCCGCCAGAGATAAGGAACATTAAGTTGATGGATTGTAAACGGCCTCGCGAAGAGTTTATGGTCGGAAAAACGGGAGGGTGGATTTATCGTGCAGATAATAATGGCAAAGGCGAAGAGTGTTAACGGGAAACTATAACACCACTCTTCGGTTGCGGATTCGACGCGAGGCAACGCGGCAATGCACCCAATTTAAATGCCAACTACCTAATAACCGAAGAACCAGAACTGGAAAGGAAGCGAGGAGGGTTTATGGCAACGGCGGCTGTAAACTTTAATTTTCCGCCGAGCTCGAGAGTGTGTATGCGTGTGTATGTATAAATTGGCGATTTTTGTCGTCCAGCTTCTTCATACATTGAAGGAGGACAAAAACTGCGTGTCCATGATTTAATCGTAAAACGGCGGCCGCCGCGATATTTTCATCTGGTATAAATTCCCAGATTGACATCGACCTACGCCGCTCGAGAAGCCTTTAAACTAAGCAAACTTATGTTATAGTTTATGCAAATCCTGATTTACATACGCGGAATGCGTCAATGCATGCGAACAAAATCTGCAGGATGAACGAGGACAACTACAACTGTTGTTCTCTCTCGCCCTCGTTTTTTCATTCCCATACGTCGCCGTCGTTGCGTGAATAATTAGCCTGATTAGAGACGCGTTGATGGAGAGAAGAGCGAAGAAGAGAGCACCGCACCGAATTAAAACCCGAAAACCAAGAACAACCACCCCCCGATGAAGACGAGGAGACCAAGACTGAAACGATGACGACGACGACTACTACAACATCGGGGCTACATCATTAAGACACCTATTTCTGGCTCAAAGCAGGCTTTTTTAACGGCGCGTTCTATTTCGGGGAATCCCCGTTGCAGCTTCCTGCGCTCTCCTTCACTAATTACACGCATTATAAATATTTTCCGCAAAGGTGACGAATTGATGATGAATTTATAACTCGCCACCTAGGTGTCTAGCTAGGTACGTTCATTCCTACAAACATTCATTGTTCACTCGTCGTTGCGTTTTCTCTGCTCTTCTCATCTTTCTTACATACGTATTTTTTTTTCTCTCATCATCTAAGCGACCACAATGAAATTCGAGTAAACATCTGCGCACCGGGGGACCCATAGGGGGTCCTCGGGGAACCCCCGCGGCGGCCAGCTCAAAGCCAACTCGGACCCGAGCTTCTCCTCCTCTCATTGCATTCAAACGATTTGTTTATTCTACATAAACGACCGAAAAACTCGAAGGGAACGAAACACACACAAAAAAAAAGAAACGTAATGTCTCGAAATATCTGAGAAACGAAAACATTACAATACGTTCATACAGTGAATATCAACAACTTTGCATGTCGCTGCAATTGCTTCAATATTTATATCTTTGCTTTCTAAATATAAAAATAAATTGCTTAAAAAACTTATAATACATTACTTATATTTCTTAAACTTCCGACAATGTAAACCTCGTATCTAGAGTTTAAATTGAGTTCACTTCAAGATGAATGAAATTAAGTAAAGATGTTCGAAGGGATTTGAATGTCACTGAGATTGTTTTTAAAATTCTGGGTCATCCGCTGTGAGAAGTTTCTTGTGGGATTATATTTGGTTAACCGAAAAAAAAAACAGAAGAAGAGCTCTTGGAATGGATTATGCAAGCCGCGTGTGTATTCCATTCCATTTATTTTCCGTCCGTCTTCTTCTCCTTGTAATGAAGATGTATGCATGTAGGAGCGAAGGAATTGTTTATTTGTGCATTTATTTATTTATCTGAGTGTGTGTGTGTGTATGTAGTTTTTTTTTTCGGTCGGACACGCATTATTAATATTCATATTCGGTTTGCGTCATCGCGTGCAGAGCACTTTATCGTCCTCGTCATCGCCAGAAGAGACGAAAAACACTCTCTCGCTGGGAGTAGTAGTAGTTTGTATGTGTTTCTGTGTGCAAGAGAAGAGAGAAAAGATAATAATTGTTTGGTTCGAGTGAGAGAAACGCGAGATGGTGGTAAGAGTGGCGGAGTGAAGGGAATGCGGCGCTCAGGCACTGCACCTACAATTTGTTCCATATCAGTTTACATGGTATCTTCATATCTTTAC